GAGGGGGGGGGGGTCACACCTGAGCCACCAGCACTAGATCTCCTTTACCTCCAAGGTCTTGGAGGAAGCAGAATGGCCATCTCCTCTAGACCCATCTCCCTCAACTCCAGAGGGTACCAGCTCCTTCCAGAGGAAGGATCCCATCCCATGGATGACGGCTACTTGCCTCAACGGGCACCAAGCTAGCAGGACAGGAACGCGTGGCTCTGTTGGAGTTGATTTCTCTGCTCCTGCCATCGGTCATCTGCAGGCACCCCACACAACTGCCCACAGTTCAGCTCCTCTCCCCTCCAGCATGAAAGCTCACCGTCCATATCTGCTTGTCATAGCTGCCCTCCAGCACCACCTCGGGCCGCCCCCCGACGCCCGTCATCCTGCGGAAGAGCCCGTAGGAGTTCACCACCTGGAAACGCTCGACTGCGTTGAACATCTGGTGGATGCCAGGCCACAGCTTGCCATTCGACTCGTAGTCTATGTAGGTGAAGGGCACCTGGGGAGCAGCGGAGAGAGGGTGGCTGCGTCACTATGGATGGAGAAGGGAGCAGGGCAGGAATCCGCCGTCTCTGTCTCCCACTTCTGACGCCCCAAGGCATGTGCATGCTTCAGGAGCAGAAAGGAGAGCTGCTCCATGGCCCAGCAGCGACACATTGCGGTCAGACACTGACAGGCTACACGACCTGCTGTTGCAGCTGACTCTCCCGGTGAGCTGGGCACGCTCCTGTACGCACCACCGAGGCTGCAACAACTCAGTTTCCACTGCCCTGCCTCTCATGCACAAAACTACCCCAGCCCCGTGACCTGACTTGGTTATGGCACCGGCTCATATCCAGAGGTGGTGAGGGGATGGGGACTGCAGGACCATCTACAGCTCTCAGATTGCAGCTGGTATCCCACCATACAGCATGGCCAGACAGCCCAAAGCTCTCCCCACAGCCTTTGCCATCTCTCCAGCCTCCCCAGCACTGGGCCAAGCAGGGAGGCCTGACTCTGCTGCCCTGCCTCGCGCACAGTCCACCCTTGCTGCTCCCAGCCCTCCCCACCCGAGATGTTTCCCACCCACTCACCAAGCTGACGGCAAACATGCCCATGGTTGCTGTGGCAAAGATGGCCCACTGCAGCGTGGCCCAGAGCTTCCAGAAGAAGCCGCGGACACAGACACACCTGTGAACGAGGAGGCAAGTCAGAGCACATTGCTTCAGGGCTGCACTACCCCTACCCCCACGTTTGTGTGGGGGCAGGCAGCTCCCAGCCGACTGCCACGCTGTGGGGATGAGACCTGAGGCCACCTCTAGAGCGGAGGGAGGGAGCTGGCAGCCCCACCCCTGTGCTCCCAGTAAGCCCAGGGCTCCTGCCATGAGCCGCAGTTCAGGGCTGCTCACGCTGCAGAGGGCTCAGCCTTGCTCTAACTCTGCCAGAGAAAACCTTCCCCAACTCACCCAGCAGCCCCTTAGCCAGAGGCCCCCACCCTCACACAGCACCAGGATCCATCCCTCCACTTTTGCCTGGTGCCAAGCAACTCGTGCCAGCACCCACAGAACCAGCCAGATCCCAGCGTCCCTCCAGGCATGCCGTGCACCCCAGTTCTGACCACACTCTTGGGGATGGCACCTGAAAAGGCATCAGGCCACCCCAGCCGCGCAGGGACTGGCTGCCCCATTCCTTCTCAGCTCTTCACTGCTCCCCTCCAGATGCAGCAGAGCTGCCTGGCACGAGACCCAGCACCCCACTCCATTGCCAGCCCAGTTGCTCACCTGTACATGGCAGACAGGATCTCCCAGGACAGCGAGAGGAAGCCCAGCCCCACCAGGGGCAGAGTCACTGCATGCAGCCACTTGGTGAACTCGTGGTACGTGAAGGCTAGAACAGAGGGTAAAACCCGTGAGAGTCAGAGAGCACCCAGTCAGGAGAGAGGAGCTCCCTCCTGCCCCAGGAACCTTGCAGGGGGAATGCAGGAGCCAAGCAGCGCAGCAATGCCCATGGCTGTGCTCACGAGAGCGGCCTGGCCCAGACACTGCTGCTGGGCCATGGGGACAATGGACTGGCAGTTCCTTTGTCAGGGTGACTTCTGCTAGAGGCCATCTTGGCTGCAGGGGCAGGGTGAGGGCTGGGGGGCACCCCGAGGCACGGCGGTGACATACCCACTTTGGAGTCCAGCAGCTTCTTCTCCCAGTTGATCTCCAGGCCAAAGTAGCGGACACTCCAGTAGACCAGTAAGCCATAGGTAGTGAGCTGCAGCAGCGTGGAGAGCAACGATCGCAGGCTGGGAGGCCAGGCTGCAGGGCAGAGGGAGGGGAAGTGAACACTAGGAGCTGCCGGGGGCCTTGGTGAGCCTGACCCACTGCTGCAAGGAGAAGCACAAACCGCACCACAAGTGCCCACACACAGTGAAGGCGACTGGGCAGGGCTCTGAGCACATCCCAACCAAGGGACAACGTGCTGCTTCACAGCTGCCCCAGCTCAAGTGCCCCACGGGCACAAACCCCAGGCCCAGGACAGCACAGAGTGGCTACACTGACTCTTACAACACCAAGTAACAGGGCAGCTGCAAGCAGCCCACACAGGGGCAGCCAGAACAACACCCCTCGCTGTTGGGCTCAGTGTTGGTCAGTGACAGCAGCCTGTCCCCTGCCCCATCCCAGGCAGGGCAGAGAGGGGACCCCACCTCCCCAAACAAGGTGCGAGTTGAGAGGCCCAGGGACTCACTGCTGGCATGTCTCCTCTTACTGCGCCCCAGCCAGCGACCCACATGCTCCTCATCCAGCAGGGAGAAGGCCAGGATGATGGTGAGCGCGTTGAAGAAGTTGTAGTTGCCCGTGAGGATGATGAGCACCTGCAGCAGGACCTGGGGAAGAGCAAACACAGGGCTGGGGGTGTCACAGCGCAGAGCTGACTGCCCTGACCTGGGGGCAGAGGCCTTCAGGCAGGCAGCCAGCACCCCGACTGCAAGGGCTGCGAGTAACCCAGGGAAACCCAGACACCAGCAGCTGCCCAGCCATCCCAGTGCCTGGCTCCTACAGCTGCGAGCACCCAGGAGGGGCCCTGCCTGCAAGGCACCGCATCGCAAGATGCCTGCCCGGCTGTTAGACTGGGCCTGTCTCCCCCTTCTTCCGGGGAGCACAGTGGGGCACCCCATGGCATCTCCCTGCAGCAGGGACTGGACCAAAGCCAGTCAAAACCTCCTGTCCCCTGCAAGGCCAGAGGGACCAGCTCTGGCCACACACCTGGCTGTAGAAGGCAAAGAGCCGGAGGCGGCGGATGGGTGCGAAGAACAGCAGTGGGATGGCGATCTCGATGACATAGGTGGCCACCACGCTGAACTTCTGGATCCACACAGGGAGCTGGTGGGCAAACCAGGCAACTGGCGTGGGGATGCACTGCGTCTCATAGTGGTAGGTGAGAGCTGGGGAGGGAAGAGGAGATGGTCAGGGGTGCAAAGAGGTGTGCAGGAAGGCCAGCAGCAAGCACACAGCTCGGAGCAGGCAGAGCCTGCACGCAGAGCTGTGCCACACGCGGCAAGCACGTGTTTGCACAGAGGAGCCGATGCCTGTAGCGCTGCCCAGAGCGGCCCCGAGGGCAGGGTAGGGACAGCTGCAGGCGTTGCCTGGAGAGCTGAATCCCACAGCTGCTTACGGGGCAGAGGAAGCATAGCCCAGCGCTCAGGGCAACGCCTCCGCTCCCCCTGCCTTGCCAGGGTGCCCTGAAACACACGGCAGGGCGTCCCAAGGCCCGTGGCCGCACTGAGCCCGCTGCGCTCCTCACCTGTGAGCCCCCACCACGTGGGGCAGCGGCTGGTCAGCTTCACCACGCCGGAGGCGAACATGAGGCGGAAGAGCAGCCAGCGCACCAGCCAGAAGGTGACACTGTCGTGGGCGCGCCAGGCCGTGGAGCGCCACTTCAGCAGGTGCAGGGGGGCCACAAGCACGGCCAGGAAACCTGCTTCCAGCAGGAGGCTGTCCCTGCGGGGAACACCAGACGGTCCCTCACTGCTGCTTCCCCCAGGCTGCACCCTCATGCACCCCTTGGGGCAGCGAGGGCTGCGCTGGGACCAAGACCCCAGGGGCTGCCATGGGGTGGCAACAAGCTGCCTGACCTGCTACCCCCTTCCAAAGGCAGCAACCCAGGTCACCAGCGTGCCCATGGGACACAGCCCTCCCGCCCACCATTCCCAACCCCCTGAGGACCTGGGGCTTGTGCACACCCCGCGTTCATGGGGCCCAGGCCCAGCTGCAGCAGTGCAACACGGGTAAGGTGGTTTCTCCAGCTCTGTTCAGCGTGGAACGAGCGCTGCTCTGAACCACGAAGCACAGGGTGCTCCGTACTGCCACACGTCCCGAAGCTGATATGCCCCATCCAGGACCGACACTCGGCTCCGGAGGGGCAGGCCCGTTGGGAAAGCCATGCCGGAGGCTCACTTACCACTGGAAGTACAGGAACACCTGTCCCACCTGTGGAGAGAGGGAGCATGGAGCAGATTAGCAGGGCTGGGGAGCTCCGTGCAGCAGACACACTCGCAGGCTTTGCTTCTGGACCCTTCCCAACTCCCACCCCATGGAGAGGGAGTTAGAAAGGCCAAGGGGCAGCTGTGACTTTCTCTCAAGTGCTTTCCCAGCAACGATGCCAGCTCCTTTCCCATGGCTGGCCACAAGCCAAACCCATCGAGCAGAGCTGTGGCCTCAACATGCTGCTGAGAGCTGCTGTACCACCGCGGAGGCTGCCGCCCAGGGCAGAGGAACGAAGGGGATGCTCCCAGGTCAAACGTGCCAGTGAGGCAGCAGTGCCAAGAACCACAGCCCAGGACAGGCTCAGCTCCTCTACGTGGAGCCGTGCTCCAGGTATGCGGACATCACTTTGTCAGATCAAGGCAATCTCCTGGCAAGCAGAAAGGAGGCGGGGAAGGGGGAAGGATGGAGACCTGTCCGGGGAGCCCCAGGCTGCAGGTCAGGACCGGGGGGGCTGCAGAGGAGCCCTGCTCCACCCTGACTTGCTGCACGGGTGCTTGCAGCCCCAGGGCTCTGCACCTCCTGCCCGCCGATGCTTCAGCCAGGCCTAGAGGGAAGCACTGGCAGAGCAGCACTCGACAGCAAACCAGGCTGCAAACCCCGCTCACACCAGTGCAGAGCGCTGCAGGCACGGGTCAGGGCCTCTCAGAGGGGAGGGAGGCTTGGAGCTCTGGAAAGGAAAAGGGACTTTCTTCTCCAGCATCACCTTAAAAGGGAATGGTGAGGGCCTGGCACGCCTGGGGCCGGCAGGAGGCCGTGCTGGGAGCACGCCACACTCCCAGAGCAGCACAGCACCCTCAGCACGGCCCTGGTCATGCCGGCAGGACTCCCCGCTCCGACAGAGCGGCACTGGGGAGACAGAGCACCTGCAGACGGGGGCCCACGGGGCCGCCCATTACCCAGGGCTTCCTGGCTCTGGGCAACCACCGCTTCCTCTCCCTGCTGTAGCTGGGGACGGCAGTGAGTCATCGCCAGAGCCCAGGCTCCCCCCCGTCCCTCCTCGGGCCTGACACAAGGGCCAGGCTGGCGGGGCCATGGGGCCGCCTGCACGAGGGGAGCACAGAAAACCGCTCACAGCAGCTCTGTGGGGCAGGGCTGCCCCCTGCCAGGGAGGCTTGTGAGTGAGACGGAGGCGACAGGGCAGGGGACAGCAACAGCACTGCAGTGGCAGTGCCAGCTCTCTCCAGGAAAGCCCCCGACCACAGGAGAAACCCATCTCCCTTGGACCAGCCACTTTGCTTCCCAGGCTTCCCAATCCCTTTCCCTGCAGCTGTCGCTGCCATGAAAGGGATCGTTCCCGAGCCCCAGCAAGCAGGAGACTGCCAAGAGCTGCAGCCAACGTCCTGGGCTGCTTTCCAACCAGGCTGCCAAGCAGGACCTTGGGAGAGCTCCTGCTGTGCAGCACTCCTGGGGTTAATGCAGACATCTGGCCCAGGAGGGATTTCCAAGCACAGCTGGTTTTCTCTTTATTTCCCCTGGTTTCAGAAGGAAGAGAAACCCTCCTCCTCCAGCAGCCTGTGCGTGCAGCCTTCTGCCTCTCTGACTCACCCAAGCTCCTCAGCAGAGAGCTGCCAGGCCCTGGCAGTGAATGCAAACGGCTCGCAAGAGGGAGGGTTTGCAGCTTGTGGCACTGAGATTGTGAAACCCCCCACAGGAGCGGGGAAGGGACCAAGTGCTGCAGCAGCCTTGCTCAGCCTAAGCTCACAGACCGCTCGGCAAGGCCACGAACAACCAGAGGACTGAGCCGTCCTGCCAAGGCCCAGCGTCGTAGGAATTGGCTCCAGACCCTTGGGCAGATCTGGGAGCTTTTTACCCCAAGGAAGGTCTGGGAGCTGAGATGGAAGCATATCTGCCTGCAAGATCCTGAGATCTGGGGAGCAGCCAGCACCGTCCCCCAGCTCGGAGAGCACGTGGGCAAGCAGAGCTGAACGTGGTCAGGAGCTCACGTGAGAAAGTTTCCCCTTCCCCAGCACATCGCCCTGATGGGTCCCAGCTTTGACTCCCCCAGGGTGCTGTGAGCCCCCCTTGGCACACCGCGCCCATACCTGGTAGACTGAGAGATAGAGCATCCTGAGCAGGGCGAAGACGAGGCTGTCCCGCAGGGGCTCGAACACCAGGGCGCCGAAGGAGGCCAGCACGCCGACGAGGCAGAGCAGCTCCATGCCCAGCTCCGTGTCCAGGCCCAGGCGCGGGCTGAGCCACAGCAGGGTGGGGAAGTCACGCAGCTGCTCCCAGAGCCCCTTCCCAGTGAAACGCAGCATCTTGCGAGCCGGCAGGATGCCATCTTTCCCGTACAGCCCTGGGGAGGGCAGGGAAGGACTGTCACAGCAAGGTCACAGCTCCCCACAAGGACACATATGCTCTCTAGGACACCCCAGCCCCACATGGTCCCTCTTGCACTCTCTCGGACACACCGCGCAGTCCCTAGGGCCTCAGCCCCTTCGTGCAGGCTGCAGCTCTCGGGCTGCCCCCAGCAATGCTGCTCCCAGCTCCTAACACCCCCCATGCCCCAGCAGAACTGGGCACCCCGGTGCATCCACATCAACAGGCAGGTGCTCCCGCAGAGACCCCCCTCCAGGAGCACGCCTGCCCTAGGACGATCTCCAGTCCTGGAGGGAAGCAGGGCTTGCTGCTCCTGCACGTTGCCCTTTGCCCAGGGCAAAGGCAGCCCAGAGCAAATGCAAAACCCCCCGAAAGGGAAAGAACCGGCAGCGGGAAAGGCCCACGGGGAGCTCGGCAGCTGCCAGCGCGCCAGGAGAGGAGCTGCCAGCAGGGAGGGGGCG